CACATGCACATCCAAACAACTTTGATTTAGATAACTGACCAGCAGTGAAAAACTCATGTCAACCACATACATACCCAACTACATGTGATACAGCGGCACATTCTCCGTCCAAAATAGACGTTCTGATTTGAAAAAAAAAACAACTGAATGGGCTAACAGTATGGATAGACGGACACGATCAAATGCGCAGCTCTGAAGCCGCTGTTGGTTGAGATGCTTCAAAGTACCCCCTTTTAATGCCCACAAACTTACATCGCAGGAAAGAGAAAGGCGAAGAAATAGGGTACAACAAAGCGATATTATCATTAGGAATCATATAAAAGGCACGCCTATTGTACAAATTTAAAGAAAAGTGTTTATCATGACTATACAGTGAGTACTCATTCAATAGCTGCGGACTTTCTCAAAGGGCACAATGAACCAAGAGAAGCGTTTACCTAAAAGAAAGTGAAAAAATTTCCCTCTAGTGACATCTCAACTTCTAACCCAATGTGAGTCCAAGTATGAGAGGAGATAATTAGGAAAGATGTCTTAATCACGTACGAAGATGGGTGTCACCACTAAGCACGCACTTAGAGCACACTCAAAAAGCAAGACGTTCGAGGCATGTAACTTCTTACCAAAGTTTAATGCAGTTAAGTCTCCCGAGAAAAGGCCAAGAAAGTTACAGCTCCTGTGCTAAGTACCACCTTTCATGTGTATCCAATTCATATGAGGCATGGAATGTTTTAAAATATAAAAAGAATGCCAGCCAGTCCATAGACCCAAGTTACTGTCGCCCTATTCTAGGAGCCTCAATCAGAGAATATTCGGATTAAGATTCGTGTACAGGGATGGTCGGAAAACTCCCTTGTTGCAGTAGTTCATGAAAAGAGCCCCTTAGTCCAGTGACTAGCGTTTCCGCATTCAGTGAGGTAATAAGATCACTCATTTTCCTGTTAAATAGTGTTCTATCCATCCCTACAATTTGATCTCCGAAAGTTGTATTTCCATGCTGTGTGGACTAAAACAACTTCATGAAGGACTCACAGCACTACAGTGAAGAATGACAACACGCTTCCGATAGTCTGCAAAGGGTGTGCCCCCGAATTTAGAGATAAAATCGGCAGTTCAAGAAAGGAGAGAATTGAGGTTGTTTCTGCATCAAGGATTATGTTATCCCCTCTCGCCTCTCTGGATCATCTCGCTCTAATTTCAGTACTGCATAGCACATTTCGAGTCCACCAAGTTAAATCTGTATGGGTTAAACAGGGCTACATTGACTTTGTTAAGGATTCTCATTGCATACCCACGATATCCAAACAGAACTGAGGACGAACTGAGAGGAGTAACATTTAAGGCTATCTGGCACAGAAAAGTCAACTCACCGATCTGGAGGATACTTAACCCTGTTGCAGAATCCGCCGCTCGCCAGGCCTCCTCAACTGCCGTATCTGAGGAGCTGAAGAGCTGTCGAAGACACCGGCGATCCGTGCAGTCCGAGAAGGACCTATCCGAGCTTTCGTTCCTGGAAGAAGCAGGAAGCAACTGGTGTCCATTGAGAGTGACCCCGCGATCTTGCACCAAGAGACCAATCCCGCGATCGCATCCGCTGGATATTGCAGCCTTCAGGACTTCGTGGAGACGGTCCACTGGTCCCGCATCCGAGGGCGCCTTGTCATGAATCACTGGTAAGGGACCTTCCTGTGGTGCGGTGTAGTGCGCCAAACAGGACACCAGAAAATTACGCTCTGTAGAGCTTAAGCCCTCTGAGAGAGCTAGCATTGGTAGCATCTGGGTAGTGTTGATGGAGCTAGAGGCATAGAGGACGCGGGAGGCCAATTCGCTTGCTTGAAGGCAACCAGCTGCAGGGGCAAGATGGGAATCCTTCTATCAAACCATATAAACAAGTTGTACCAAAATCATAATTGCTAACACCTCTCTAGCCGGAGAACTGGAACACCTTGCTTAACGGAGCTAAGTCTACTATACATGGAATCATTTCACCCCAAATATCAAGACCAATTGGACCGTATTGTTGCATTCCAAGATTGAGGACAAAGACATGGAAAATTCCTCACTTATCAACTACCCCAACAGTCATGCCGCAAAACACTACCGGCTGTGCTAATTACAAACTGCACCCAATTGTGTATTCGTCCTGAAAACGAAGAGTGGATAGGTCCTTTGTCCGCTACCCCCAATCAACAATGATTATTTTAGAAAAGCAGGGGTGGAAAAGTAGAAGAAAAACATCCATTTTGCACAGTCCAGGCAAATTGAGACGTAATTGATAATTATTAAATTTTAAAAAGAAAGGGAAACACCAATTAGCAGACGTAATTTGTGCATCATGGAAAAACTTGAACAATTCCTCAAAGTAGCCATCGTTCCTGCTTGAACCAAGATTAATCCATCAAGTAAGACTGGCAGTCTGGCCAGGCAACGAAGACTGTGCTTTCTCGTCAATGGTCCAAAACTTTAATGCTGTAGTGAACTGATTGCAAGACCGGAGATGCATAAGGGAGTGTTCGCGTTAGCCTTTGATCTTGACATTTGAGTAAACTAAAGATTGATTACAGGCACTTGAAGCAAGAGCATACCGATGAGTCCCTCTACCAGAGCTTCTCATTGTGCAAAGACAAGGCGCTCCACTACCTCCGTGTTTGAGAATTAGTGAATAGTAAGATCACTAATCGCTCAACGGAGAAAATTAAAACTGAAAGTTATCGTTAACATAGCTTCGTAAAGTCCAATTGACAAGGCATTCATCAAGGCGAAAAACATTGATGCATTCCATAACTACGTAAAAGTTACAAACGGATTTATGATAGCACACTTTGGGAGTGTACAATGGAAGTAAGTGAAAAAGGGTGTTTTAAAGGAGCAGTTCTCGGTTGGCATCAACTCAACATTTTTTTAATCACACCCATGTGGAGTTTGGTGTTTACGTTAAACTTTAGCACAACGAGCCGGTAGTAGTCGGATTTTGCTAGACATTTCGTGCGAGAGAAAACAAGGTTCAACATAAGATAACAAGAGGATAAACAAAAGAATAGTTTAAAATTCCAGTCGCTCCCGAAACAACCAGCTTTAGACAATCTACTATGACGCTTCGTTGTTTTACAAGGCATTAAGGAGGCATCGCCTCCATAGGAAAGCCCTCATGCCTCAGCTACATAGCTTAAAATGTTCGAATGAAGCAAACGAAGTTGAAAGACGCTCGATTTAAATTGGTCATTTTATAAAAAAAACCAACGACACTACAAGCAGCCCTGGTACTTCTTGATTTGTAAATGAAATAGCACTGCTTATCCAGAATCGAACCTAAACAGTCCAAAATAAACTTATCGTAAAATAGAAGTGCGATAAAGAAAAGAAAATCGACATCTAGGAAACCAAACTAGAACAGAAGGAAATTAAAACGCGTGACTACTTGCTAGTCAAATAACTATCTTTTAACCATCCAACTCGTACAGCGTTTAGAGCAAATGTTACCATTTTTGCTGTGCCATTACAAACGGTTTAACAGCTGAGTTGTTCCAATGTGGATGAAAATGAAAAGCGAAAATATGCACAACGAACCTCCGTGAACGAGAAGCGTCAGTTCTTGAGCCAAAGCACGCTGAACAGGCCTACGTGACGGATTATTCTAGCACAAGCATAAGAAGTGTAAGTCAAAATGTCACTCTTCCACAGTGATACCTTGTAAAAAGTCACCTTTTTATCAAGCAACAGCTGTTCAATCTCCTCCACAGAAAAGAAGGAGAGACACTTTAGGATCTCCGGAGTCATGAGCTTGTCGGGAAGATTGAGAACCCTCTGAAAGAAGTGGAAGGGTCGGAGGTACCTAGGATTCAGCCATATCACATCGTCCTGATTGCTTAATGTAGTCTTTCCTATCTTTGTACCATCGGCAGCCAGCAGTAGGGGAACTGTCAGACCTAGGAGTGAAAAAGGCTTACGTGTATAAGACATTGAATAGATGGATGCAATTGGTGATGCCTCCGAGTGGTATACAGCTAAGGTCACCAGAGCCATGTTTTTTACAGTACTATATTAGTTTCCTTAAGCATAGAGATTATTTTAGGTTCTTAAAAATAGGAAACTCGGGCGATCAGAGGGTTTCACAAGACAGCAATAGCTCAACAGAGGGTGCAGAAGCGGTTACAATTGAGATAATGGGGCCCAAAAGTTTAAAAAGGTTGAAAGAATAATGTTTCACCAACAAGACAACTGTTAAAAAAACCTGACCAGAAACGAGATTAGCTGTGGAATTAAGAATCGAATAAACACGCATGTTAAGAAATCTTACCGAAAGTGTTTTCAGCTAGTTTGCGTCTAATAAGAGCGATGCCGGTATCAATATTTCCAATTTGATCATTACCACCAAGCTAAATATTAAAGCCAAAGTGCCACAAACCTGAACGCGACAGTCGTGGTTTTGGTAGAGATGGAGAAAATCATACGCCTGAAGCATGGGGTATACGAATTCCTTCATATTCATCCCCAAACCGTAGGACTCACGAAGTTTGACACTAAAAGTAGAATCACAATGATGGCTTCAAAATATATAATATAGACACGTTTATGAAATCCAGCTTTACCTATCCTTGTGAGCTAGCTCCTGATATCTTATGTAGGTAGCAACCTCTTGAAGAAAGTTTAATACTTTCTCCCCCTTCATCCAATCCATGTTATTCAGCACCTCGAATTTTCCAGGATCGTGTAGAAGCGCAAAGTTAGGCAAAAATTGTTCGGTAAAATTTGCTTGCATCAAAAGAAAGGCGTCTCGAAAATGATCCGAATTGAAAGCACAGGCTTCCTCATTAATAGGCACTCTCGAATCCTTTCGACCAGTTGGATCACCAACAAGTGAAGTCGCCTCGCCAATCTTGTAAAAAGGTTACAATGAAATAGCAACGGACCAGCCCAATGACATTATTTCCCGAAGCTTGTAGACGAAGCAATCCAATGAATGCGACTAAATTCCCCAATTGCAGACTTTCCGCAGTTGGATCGAAGCCACAATAAATTGTGAGTTTACCAGATTTCTCCAACTCTTCTAAATACCCATCGCTACTGGTGAAGAAAGTGCCGGTTTACCTACCTCATTTGAGGCAATACGTTTACATAATATCCGCTTGACCTCAAGTTTGTTATGGAAGTACAGGTGTGATATTTTGATGCTGCCGCAAAAAGTGGCACAAGGCTTTTGGTATACCTAGCAAATACGTTCATTTGAAAAAAAACGTGGTAGCCTAATCGGCAACACGATTATAACTTTCGCGCCATGAAATGGTAACGCTGTGGTTATTTGCAGCAGACAATTAAATTAAGGCTTGTTCTGATTGTATATCTTTTAGCTAAATGCAGTTTTAAAGAATGTGCACTCTAAGCAGCAGGGTTTTACGAATTATTTCTTTTCGCAGTAATTGCTCATGTTCATCATATTCAAGGTTTTGGTGGCGATTGGTTATCATCGCCCCTATCGGCTTGGCGTCGAAGTGCTGCGCCTATGTTAGCTAAAGAAGCTTTTGATGGATTGAGAGTGCTGCATTTTAAGAACCTTGCCTATGAATTAAGGTCGAAAGATATTGAGTGTCTTCTCAAGCGTCTTGGTGCGACGAATATCCAGATTTTCCTCTCATGCAATCCAGCAACAAATGTAGGGTATCAACCTCTTATTTTCCATTTAGCATCGAGCTCTTGCAGAATTCAAGAGCACCGATGATTGCTGGCGATTAATAAAATCTCTGCACCAACGTGAGGTTTGCGGATATCGTTTGGTTATTGAGTTTGGACGTTTCAATCATTGCCAGTCTGGCGCTGTGAGGCCAAAGGATAATGAGGGAATATCCCCTGAAGAGTCCTCTTTACCAAAATGGGTTGAAAATGTCACCTCACTGTCAGCAAAGTGGTTACCAGGCCATGCCTTAACCGATGCATTTTATTCGTATCCCAAGGCTACACCTACCATTCTTACTAATATCGTCCGATGCCTTGCCTCAGTGTCTGCATTTTACGTTCAAGTACTTAATTAATTGCTATTTTTAAAATATGTCTATGAAAGTTGTGTTTCTTTGCATGATTCGGTCATGTTTGCATCCCATTCTAAAAATCGTAGGTATTGTTTGTATAGAATTCGAGGTTTTAAGATTCAATTAACAGAAGAATTTACACTCAAGTTAGTTATCAATTGTTTCAACTTTCGTGGTCTCAAGCCTCCTTTCCCATATGTTTTCCATATCTATAGTAGCATTTTCTTGTTGTTTACATTTTAATTTATTTTATTTAGTCTTCTCGCAACGACGGACGTTTCACCTCTACCCAGCCCTTCAAATTTTAATCGTATCCTTTATACCTTCGTTGCTCATTTGACTTATTATTTTTTTGCACCAAATACTTTTCTCTCTATCTGATGCTCCTCTTTCTCCCCATCTTTACCTTCAAAAGTTGGGAATCTGTAAATGACCTTTTTTACATCTTACCTGAGTGTTAGGGCGTTCCGCTTTTCAACCATGTTGAACGTTCACGTTCTGACGAGACACTTTCCTTACCAGACGCTCCATTTGATGAATCGATTAAATTTGCCGGCACCATTTTGCAACACGAATGAGTTTCCCGGCTGTCTCTATGTTATAACCGAGGAAGAGCTCCTTCATCGCCTGCCTCCACCGTCAACCTCTCAAATGAATGGTATTCCCGAAGAGATGGACGTCTCTAGTGGTCCCGAGAGCGAAATCAATAGTGGTAGGAAACCCATTTCTCTCTTAAGTATTCTAGGCTCCGATGACGGCGCTGGAGCCGGTGATCCAGGGAAACTGGCCTCATTGACTTCTTTGCCTCGAAAAGCTCCATCAAAATTGAAGGCTGGGCTTCTGAAGCGAGAGGAAAGGCGATTAGACTTTCGAGGAAAGGCACTGAGACCAACCTTGTGTGTGTCAGTTGGTAGTGATGACGGAGAAGAGAAGTCTTTTCAGCCGTCGTTGTTATCTGCGCAGTCCTCCGAGCCCGTATTTGAAGAGTGCATTTTGCGCTCCGCCCCACATATCGAGATGCGACTTACTGATGCTGCCAAAGACACTATGAAAGGAGCTGATGAGAATGCAATAGCTGGGGGATTCGGTGTCTTCTCGAACTCAAAGTCTGCAGATGATGAACTCTCTCCGCATGGTAACTTGACTCGCGCATCGTGGCTTCTTGAGAGGTTTTGACAAAATTTAAAGCAATTGCTTTATCTTGATTTGCACTTATTTACCTGCTGTATATTCTTTTGGCGCATATTATAAGCATTCTTTTTAGATCATGAAGTATTTGAGCTAAGTAATCAAGTAGTTTAATCAAAAGTAGCCGATTTTGGTGAAATTATGCATTCAAATTCCATTTTCGATACTGTTCGGTCTGCAATTTAATGTTTTCTTACAAAATTACCTAGTTCCACTTTTTTTAAAAAAATATTCCGTTAATCTAGACCACTATGTTTGCTTGAAATTACCAATTTAACTTTGTCATGGATAGAGTTGTTGAAAAGCACTCTGATGGATTTCGATTTTACCAATTTACGTAACGTGCCAGAACTTAACAAGTTAAATACATGTTTTTATACTGAGACTGTAAAGACATCTTTTGAAGATGAAATTGTTTCTTATATGCCGCGAGGTTTGCCTTGATGATACGTACTATTTTCAGTATTGCTTTGTAGCGCTGGGCGCATTTCTGGCTAGATTGGGTTTTCACCAGAGTACCTTTGCATCCTTCTTTGAAGAATTTTTTAAACTGGTCACTAGCTCACTTTAGTAGATGTGGTGGATTGTTTTGTACCTCGAAATTTCGTTGTGCCTTATTGCGCTTTTCTTACTCTTTCACCAACCAATGAAGATGAAGCATTTTCGTACCATCATCCTTCCTCATCACCAAGAGATAAAAGAACAGAGGATGTGGTAGATGGAGAGGAAGATGACGAGTACTTATCCAGACCGGCTCCATTGTCGCCTGGAGAGCTCTATGCAGGAAAAATGTCGCATACAGATTTGGCGAGTAATCCAATTTTCAGCAAGTCCACCGGTCCTGGAATCCCATCCTCTCGACTCTATGTCAAGAATCTGCACAAGCGGACGAATGAGGAGGATCTCTGGCGAGTGTTCGGTTCATTCCGTCAGGAGACTCGTCACAAAGGGATTCCCAGCCAATTTTCCATTCAGCTCCTAACTGGCGGACGTATGCGCGGTGGGTTTATTCTTTGACCACCAAAATTCATCTCCAAAGTTGTATCAGGCATTTTTAGCAGATTTATTCATTCGTGAGAAGCAAATAACTTGCCCGGCATATGGGACTTGTCACTATAGAGGTGATTTACTTTTTTTAAAGAGGTGTTGGTCTTGTCGTCTTTTGCTTAATCAGGATTTGCTTCAAAGCGCCTGGAAAATTTTTAATTTAGTAGATTTTATGGTCCACTTTCCTTTCACTGAAATTAGCCAAAAATACCAAGGTTAACCTTCTTAAGTCGTGTTTGGTTTGCTTTGTATCAAATTCTACTTTAGTAGCTATTTGTTTTTCGGCTCTACAATACATTTCCGTAGTAGCATAAGACTGCTCTCGAGCTTATTTTACCTATTCCGAAGCGTTCTACTTATTTATTTATCAGTAGACGTTTTGCATTGTTGATTAATATCCGGCCTTTTGGTTATCTCGTCTCCATGATTAAAGAATTATTTCATCTCGATCGTACAAAGCATAATATGGTGTTTCTTCAGTTACCAATCATGATTTGTATGGGAATTCATGCATACATTCAAATTGGGTTCGAATGCGCTAGCGAACACTGTCTGTATAGGCGAGTTTCCAAATTGTCAAGGCTTGAAGTCAAACACGGGCATTAATATTACTGTAATAATTTCTTTAAATACTATTATGTGTTCTTCGTGAAGCTTGAATTGCCTGGTCGCATCAACCTTGAGCCAAGCATGAGGGCATTGCGCTGTATATTTTGGCTAACTAAAGCAGGAGGTTTTTAGCGTTTTCAGCGTTTTTTCATTTTCCTTATCACCCAATGTTTTTCATTTTATGAACCTCTATGAAACAAGAAGTTAATTTGTGGCATCATCAATATTTAATTGCGTCAGGTTAACTAACCGCAACACTCCTTTCAAAAACTGCTGACCTTGACACTATGGTCTGATTGTGCACCTCACGATAAGGCGATTTCTAGAGGTGTCACTTCTGTCCCTAAAGCTCAAAACATGTTGATTGCATAGTCTTGTCGAATACATTTTCCGCTTGATTTTCCTACGCATATTATTTGTATATTTTCTTCCACCATAGAATTTTCTAGCTGTTCGTTGAGCATAAAATGCATAAGTTGATTCAGTCCACCATAGTCATCGACTAAGTCAGGAAATTTTTTGCGATCAGTTATACGCAACCACTTAGTTTGGTATCCATGTGCATCGTTAAATAATTTGTTTGGTCTTTTAGCTCTTATTTTGGATAAAAGTCGTTGCTTCCTATCTCATGGTAACTGAATATTTGTACTCAGCTGGTCTGAAATCCACCAGGCTTTTGTTGGCATTTCAGTTTGTTCTTCCTTTATTCGCATAGAAATAATTTTCTAAAGTTTTTGGGATTACGTATCAGTTGTAAAGATGTCACTGAAATTTTAGCGGTCGGAAATTTACAAGAAGCGCAAGCGTCACTGCCTTACCACACATTACTTGACTTCCATTTTTTTTTACTTTTTTGGTAACCCCTTTGATTAAAGCCACTTGTGTCACGCGTACAGTAACTTGGGTAATGTGTGCATTTTCTTATGGCTTATAAATTCATAAGAAGTCTCAACTTGTTCTTTGTTGTAAAGGCTCAAACTCTAGGAGCAAAAGGTCCTTCCTTTTGTTCAACGGTCACGGTTATAATGATATTTCACCCGCTAAATTAAACCGCCATCTAATGTTCGGAGCCTTTTGTTCATTAATTCATGAACAGTTCTTTTCTGCCTTGCAGCTCAAGTCATCGTTGTTCGTGTTTAGCTCTTTGGCCATGATGTTTTAGTTTTAATTTCATTTAGTAAAGAGGTAGATCTAAAAATACGCTTTTCAGTAGCGCATCTGAAAACTCACTGTCTTTAGGCCGCATTTGAATGTGAGTACTCGATTTACGAGAATTTATGTGCTATGAACATTCAAAAGGGCACTTTCTTTTCGGTGCTTTGCTACGGCAATGATAGAGTTGTTTGATCTATGAATGTAGCAGTTCGGCTGGTAACGCCAGAAGTTCGTCATTTATTTGTATCCTCATCTTTATGATCCACACATTTTTGCTCTGATGCCTCATAGGGTTTTAAAAAGAGCATTTTGGTGGCCATTTGAGGTTCTTCGGCCTCACATTTACAGTAGCTTTTGCGACACTTGCTCCCACTTTCACTTGAAATTGCTCAGCATGCCTTATTCAAATGACTATTCGGTTAAGCGTTTTCTTTTCTATCAAGGGTTTAAGTAGGAAGCCTTTATTTCTTGCTGCCTTTCATACTATTCCTTTTCAACCTCCCATTTACTAAAAACTTTATCATTTCATCAAAATACCACCTTCTTTGGCAAACAACTGCTGAATCCTCCTTAAAATTACCGAAACATCTACCGATTTTCGCTCTTTGAATAATACTGAAGCACGCAATTTCTGGGTGATCTTTTACCAGCTTACCTGTGAAACTTCATCATTCTCCCTGTGCTTTCCAGGTCAGGCCTTCATAGGCTTCGATTCCGTTGAATTGGCTGCAGAAGCGCTGAGTGCTACCCACGGTTTCTTGCTCAATGGGAAGCCCATGCACGTCCAATTCGCACGAGGCGTCATGGCCAAACCCGATCCCAACAGTCTCATCACGCGAAACGACTAATGCGCCACCTTTCTTCCGTTTGCTTTTCCATGGACGCGAATCGTTTCTGTTAATATCATTTTTTCTGTAAATAATTTGATAGCTGTGTTTGATAATATCACTTGTGAGGTCGGGTTTGGGCCGTGTACGATGTCACTTTTCGGAAATAATGATATTAAAGGAAAAGGTGAGTTTCGTTAAACTGAAACACTATTTCCTGAATGACGGGTTTCAACCACGCTTTTTTCGTCCGCTTCTCGGTCATCTTTGCTTGAGCGTCATCAAATAACACAATAATCTAACCTGCTTACCACATGTTGAGCTCAATGAAATTTGGAATGCATTTAGTTCTCGGAGGAGCTAAGTGTACTGACTCTGGTCTTGTTAAGTGCATATCGCGTCAGTCCGCTGCTGCAGTGGACTTCGTTTTAACTCTACTGTCTCTTGTTTTGGCAAGAAAATGAAGAAGTATTGTGGCTAGGAGGAAGTATAGGCTCCATTGCTAAAGGGGCCTCTTCAACTAATCTGACGTCTAATGTGAATAGGTCTGGTGATGCTGCACAAGAGGGTGGCTTGAGCTTGGATCCACAGGACTTTGGGGAGACTGAGTTGCGAAACATGCGTCATTTGCTTTCAGCATTGTCAACACTGTAAACTTGACTCCGGGAAATCTAGTTTTCTCCACCGAGAATTCCAAACTTCCTTCACGTCTTGGCACATGCAATCAGTCTTTTCGTGCGTATGATCCAATGCATTGAACTAGTCACAGTCGCATCATAAATGCATGTTTTTTAACTTCTTTCATACTGTTTGTCATTTTGATTCCAGCCTTTGTACTTCCGTCCGACGACTTAGCTTCCAAGTCATGCTAGTCGCCTTCCTTACTCCCAGTGCATTTTCTCAAGACTCTTCCAAAATGGAAGAATATGTTTGAGTAGGATTATACTTTCAAAGTGGGAGGAATTGAAGCTGATAGCATGGGCTGGAAAAGTACAATATCAACTCCTATTTAGCAACCTCCGTTTTGGCCACCAAAACGTATTTGTTGTTGCAACGATTCACCAGCCAACCAACCGTTGAATGCCTGTGCGACCAAGTTGAATGATCGCAGCATCGCCGGTCAGTTTTGATGCTTTTGTCTTGTAGCTGCGGCACCTAGACCGAGGGATTTCGCTACCCATCGTGTGTATTTGAAGACAGCCGTACAAAAGTGAACTCAAATGATAAAATTGGGCTCAGTTCTTGTCTGTGAGGGGCAGCTATGTCGAGTTATTTTACCATGTCGACCTTTTAGGTTCCATTCAGCCAGTGGGGAGTTGGTAGAGGAAAGGTCTCACACGGCAAAGGTAGGCAACACACTGAGTAAGCTTTGTAGGCAGTTAACGTCCATAGCCTCGAAGAACACAAGGTCGAAGTAGTAGTCAAAAGTTGAAGTAATTTCAACTTTCCGTTTAGGGAACGCATGTATCTTTCATCTGTTCAGGTATGATTTGTCGCCCTGCAGTGCTCATTGGTTGGATGCCCTTTAATGTCAGGTCGGCTTTCATCTTCCACCAAAATCAGTCGACACAAACCTTCCTAAACGCAAAGGAAGCCATCATCTTCGAGCAAGATGCAAATCGTCAGTGTACAGAGGGACATGAGGACCGCTGGCATAGCCCTGGAGCCCTTTTGCCCGACATGGTGCTATGGCGGCAAAAAGAGGGACCTCTTCATGAAACCTGCGTTAAACGACTAACTCGTTGCACATATATATTCATAGCATCCTACATTTCGCCTTCAGAGAAGTCTCTTAGCACCTCAAACAACCTTTGCATTTTGCATGTGTATTGCAGAATTTTGCATTCACTAAGCAGCAGCCTCACAAATATGAACACAATGTTCAGTCCACCTTGGACACTTGAACATAAAATGTGGCTGAGTTGGTTTTGAGAATTTGGAAGACTTCTTGCTGTTAAAACTGTTTTGATCTTAGTGACACTGTGCATTCTCATCTGGAAATGACACAGCAAAGTCTCCGCTTTTTTTGCATTTTACCTTCACCCAACGACCTCCACCTCTTTTAACTTCTGGAAATTTTTCATCGTCTGCTGCGCTAGTAATCTCAAACATCCTACGCACTGACGCGGAAGAAAAATCCCGAGATTTAACACTTCATCATTCGAAATCTCATCAAGATTCCAACACAACCCTTAGGCAAATCTTGAAGCACAACACTCGTGCATCCATTTTTGCCCGTTTTGGAGGCTCCCAATTGGATTACTTATGACTTCAAAAGAAAGAAAATTATGAAAAGTATTCTTGGTATTAATAAATCGGCGCTATATCCATTCAAATTCTACCGGTAAAATGCGGGATCTGCTTGGAGGGACGTTGAATAGTCAGACCGGGAGGAGAGAGCGGAGATTTCTTTGAGCATCCTTTATTCCTTTACCTTCCTCTCAACCGGAGGCGCTGTGTAGGGCATAAAAGGCACCGCGGGCTTGTAGCAGTGCACCAGGGGGACCACACTCGATTTTCTGCCCATGATCAACTACCACCACGAAGTCGCAGGCCTCTACTGTGGAGAGGCGATGCGCCACTACGACACAAGTTATCTTTGCCTTTGCTATGGTCTGCGACAGCGCCTCCTGTACGTCTCGCTCGTTCTCTGCGTCCAGTGCCGAGGTCGCTTCATCCAGCAGCAGAACTGCCGGCCGCCTGACCAGTGCTCGAGCAATCGCGAGTCGTTGTCGCTGGCCTCCTGAAAGTTGGGATCCCTGAATACCCACTTTAGTGTCGTAGCCCTGTCAAGCCCAATAGTGTTAATAAAAATAAATCATCACTCAAATGCGAATCAAATGAGCTAAGTAGAGATATGATTTACCATTGGGAGACTTGTGATAAAGTCGTGGATGTTAGCCACTTTCGCGGCCTCAATAATATCACTCATCGGAAGTTCACGAGAACAATCACCAAAGGCAATATTGTCACGGATAGAAAGGTCGAACAGGTCCGAATTTTGTAATACTACGCCAATATGCTTCCGGATCCAATCAGGCGAGAGGTCTTTCACACTCTTTCCGTCCATAAAAACACCCTCTTTAAGTTTCTCCGAATT